AAAATTAATTTATGTTAAAATATAATAAATCACAATTTGGATTATAGATAATAATACAATAAAATAAGACCTAATCCAAATAATTGATTAGTGTGCGACGTTTCAGCAACAGCCTTGTCACCATCATCAGACAAAAGAATAAAATGATATTAAAATGAATTTATTCTTTTGTCTGATGATGGTGACAATGCTGTTGCCGAAACGTCACACACTAATAAATTATTTGGATTAGGTCATATTTTCTTTTATTATGTTAAAATAGAAGAAAGAAAAAAAAGCCATCATTGAAAGGATGTTTTGTTGTAAAGGTGCACAACCATTTGGGTCAGACCAGTCAGCTGTGCATGCGCAGAGAGCTATTTTCCTGCAAGCATGCAATGGCTGCCACAAGGTGATGGGAGAGTGGAATGACAATAAGGAGGCCAGAGACCAATTTCAAACCATATTATCGCCAACTCTAGAAACTGGGGGAAAGATCATTTGAGGAATGGCAAAAAGACTTCAAGATGAACGGATATTCAAATTGAAGATGGAATTTCAAAAAGATGATTGTGTAAAAAAATGATTCTCTCTTCATGGTGGGCCATCTCTGTGACTAAGCATGTAATCCACGTTTACTTCATAGATTGCGAAATGCGTAGTATATTGGAAATACCTGAGTTAAGTTTGATTTGACTTTTGGGAAGGTCAAAGTCATCCAGGTCATCAATGATGTGGGATGGGACTGGAGTTTTGGGTCTGCTCAACACACCATTACTGTAGGTCAACACTATGTGGTGGTGGGTTCTTGGTTAGGTACAAATTGGATAGGAATCACAGGGGAAACTACCCCACATAGGGCAATCATTGGTGAACCATTCCAGGGTTTAGCCAGCGAGTGCAAGTAACCAAACGGGGCTCAGGCACATTTTTAAGTGCAAAGTTTAACTGCTTTTCACATGTCTAGACATGTGGTGCACTTACAGTAAAAGCAGTCGCCTACTTCTACCCTGATTATCATGGCCTGTACCACGAGTACTAGGGATAAACAGCAGGGGTTTAGACAGTTTTGCATTTATTTCTATTAGTTCAAAGCTTATTTACATAGTTAGCTTAAATATGATAAAGTAAAATTTTGATTATAGCTACAAGAAAATAAGACCTAATCCAAATAAATTAATAGTTTGTACCATTTTGAAAACAACATTGTTAATGAGGCGTCATACACTATTAAACACAAGGTAATATGACCAAAAATCCAAATAAATAAATAGTGTGTTTATTTTGATTATATTACCTTGTGTTTATAATCTATAATCCAAATTGTGCCTTATCGTCATACACTATTATTTTTTTTTGGATTAATACTTATTTTCTTGTGCTATTTGCTTAAATACCATTATGTAAGATTCCTTCTGAAGTGTTGGACACAGAAGAAGAATTGTCTAGTGCAATTGTACAGCTCTAAAAGGCGGTATGGTAATATTAAAATGATGAAACCACTGGGAGGATTCACCACTTATGAGCCAGGTTCTTGCTATATATATATATGTCGTAGCTAAATGAAGAGGCGCAGTCGTTATGCCTAGCGAGCAGCACACCCGCGATGTCTGCCCTCTTTATTTTTTGTCCAGCTTTTATATATGGATGAATTTACATATTTACATTTTAACACAAGCGTAACATATTTACATACTTAGTTTGACGGAAATAAATTATCTCTTTTGGCATTAACTATACAAATTATGACATATATATTAAAAATAAAAAAGGCATATCCTGACCAGGAGCACATGTGCTTTTCAGAAGGCAGAGCGCCATCTGGTGGAACAGAAATCAACTATCCATTGATTTAACCTGTTTCCTGATATTTGGCCAACCCAATTTCTTGATAAATCAAGAAAAGCTATCCACGAACGCATTTTGCGCTGTTGGCGCTCGTCAGCGTGGAGTAGGATGTACTAAATATCAAGGAACATGTTAAATCAATGAATAGTTGATTAGGTCCTATTTTCTTGTGTTATATTATAATCTATAATCCAAATTGTGCTTTATCATTATTTACATAAGGTTACAAACACAAGGTAATAACACCAAATCTAAATAAATAAATAAATAGTGTGTGACATTTCAGTTACAGCATTGTTACCTACTATTGTATGATGATAAAACAATACTTAAAGTTTCACCGCATAAGTTTCATTTCTGTGAAAAATCAGTATTTATTTCAAAGAGAAATATTTACTATTTCTAACTTTTTTGGATGAAGTATGAAAGGGTGAAAATATGAAGAGTAATGGCGAACGGAAAAATAAAAGTGTCCAGGGGCGGGAATTATATTGTATGATGATGTTAACAACGCTGTAATCTAAAATGTTGCACACCATTTATTTATAGATTTGGTCTTATCACCTTGTGTTTCTCATCTATAAAATTGGTATCTTATCATAAGACTTACTTTGTTGTGAAGGAAGTGAGAGAAGTCTGGTGGTATTTAGCCGGCTTGGTTGACTGGGAGGATCTCGGTGCTGTCTCAGCCTTCCTGGTGTGACCAGGGGGTTTCTTGGTGGTTTCATTGGCTGGAGGTTCCTGGCTGTCAGGTATAAACTTCAAAAGGTGCTCTCCTAGCTTACAAAACTTGAACTTTCTGAACACACACACACACACAGGTTAATAATAACAAAAGTAGTTTCATTGCAATTTTGGTTTTTGTCGAATCAAATAACTTCCTCTATGTATACTGTCTTTACTGTGATGAAAAAGGTAATGAAGGGACCTAGCTCATCAGTGGTGAACTCACTCCATCTCTCATTTTCAGTTAAACCTGTCTATAGCGCCCCCTTTTGGTACTCACCAAAATAGGGTGCTATAGACAGGTCACTTTTAATGTAAATCACATCGTACTACGTATTTAAAATCGGGCGCTATAGAGAGGAAGGCGCTATTTAGAGGGGGCGCTATAGACAGGTCACTTTTAATGTAAATCGCATCGTACTACGTATTTAAAATCTGGCGCTATAGAGAGGGAGGTGCTATTTAGAGGGGGTGCTATAGACAAGTCACTTTTAATGTAAATCGCATCGTACTACGTATTTAAAATCTGGCGCTATAGAGAGGGAGGTGCTATTTAGAGGGGGCGCTAAAGACAGGTCACTTTTAATGTAAATCACATCGTACTACGTATTTAAAATCTGGCGCTATAGAGAGGGAGGTGCTATTTAGAGGGGGCGCTCTATACAGGTTTAACTATATATACATATGACCTTCTAATGGTTTATATGCAGGTTGAATAATGTATATTTATTTTATCCCAAATGTGCGTCAGTATACCTAGTAGATTATAAAACTATTTTAGAGGCGTAATATTCTTTTTAAAATAAAATAATTTCTACTGTCCTTACTGCGATGGAAAAATTAAAGGGAGGGCCTGGCTCATCAGTGGTGAACCCTCCCAGCGGTTTCGCCAGTTTAATCTACCATACCGCTGTTATATTGCATTTTTGGAACTTCCTTTTATAGGTGACTGTTGTAAGACTCTTGGAATGGGTATTTTAGAAGAACTATGGACATAAGCTTTTAGGACAGCAGAATTAAAGTCTTACAACAGTCACCTATAAAAGGAAGTTCCAAAAATGCAATATAACAGCGGTATGGTAGATTAAACTGGCGAAACCGCTGGGAGGGTTCACCACTGATGAGCCAGGCCCTCCCTTTAATTTTTCCATCGCAGTAAGGACAGTAGAAATTGTTTTATTTTAAAAAGAATATTACGCCTCTAAAATAGTTTTATAATTTAATAACAGATGGCGCTCTAGTACATCGTAACATTATTGTTCTAATAAAAGACACAATTTGATATTTGCGGAAGAGCGATTGCTCGAAGCATATTATATAATTATAATTATATTTAATTCTGCTGTCCTAAAAGCTTATGTCCATAGTTCTTCTAAAATACCCATTCCAAGAGTCTTACAACAGTCACCTATAAAAGGAAGTTCCAAAAATGCAATATAACAGCGGTATGGTAGATTAAACTGGCGAAACCGCTGGGAGGGTTCACCACTGATGAGCCAGGCCCTCCCTTTAATTTTTCCATCGCAGTAAGGACAGTAGAAATTGTTTTATTTTAAAAAGAATATTACGCCTCTAAAATAGTTTTATAATTTAATAACAGATGGCGCTCTAGTACATCGTAATACCTAGTAGAATATCATGCTTTCTAGTTGAGAAGTTTATATACTGAGATGGTGAATTCAGTTTAACCAATTATCATTTCTTATTAACTTTATACCCCAACATTTCTGGAAATGTACTGGCACTCTCTAGTCAAATCTTGAACTCATGGCCAACCCTGAAGTCAGACAATCTACCAATGTGTCAGATCTCTGTTTGGTTACTTGCACTCAATGGTGTGGAGGGTTGGACTTTTACAAGAATCAGGGGCTATTGAGGCAAATCTTGTATTTGTATAGTTTACCTGGTACAATATCATGCTTTCTGGTTGAAGAGTTTATATACTGGGAGGTGAATTCAGTTTAACCAATTATCATTTCTTGTTAAATTTATGCCCCAACATTCCTGGAAAATGTACTGGCACTCTCGAGCCAAATCTTGAATTCATGGCCAACCCTGAAGTCAGACAATCTACTAATGTGCCAGATCTCTGTTTCATTACTTTCACCCAATAGTGGGTAGGGTTGGACTTTTACAGAAATCAGGGGCTATTGAGGCAAATCTTGTATTCAGCAAAAAGTTCCCAAATAAGGGATTCGATCCGGAATTGTGGCTGTTGGGGAAATTGATGATTTATGATGACCTCTCAAGGCCAAATGTCTACAGGAATGGATATCTAGTGTGTATCCTACAGTTGATACAGACCATCAAGTCTGTCTTCTTCCCACAAGAGGACTTCAATCCTTCATTTGCATAAATAGCAATGGCTGGATGTTCCCATATACACCACCTTTTGATCTGTCTGGTGAAATATTGGTTTTCTCAATCCCTATTGACCTATCGACACAGGGGGGTTGGTGGAAGGATGGTCTAAACTGTTGGTTTTCAACCGCTACGACCCGGGTTCGAATCCCGCATTTGGCACTTTTTTTCTGATAAAAAAAAAAAAAATGCTCCAATGGCCCCCAATTCTTGCAAAAGTCCAAACCCACCAGCGAGTGCAAGTAACCAAACAGGGCTCTGGCACATTTTTAAGTGCAAAGTCGAAATGCTTTTCACATGTGTAGACATGTGGTGCACTTACGGTAAAAGCAATTGCCCACCTCTACCCACCATGATTATCATGGCTGTACCATGTGTACTAGGGATAAGCAAAAAAAAAAAAACATAACTGATATATATAGTTGTTTATTTGTTTTGCATATTTTTCATTTATAAATTAATCTCATAATTTAGTCTGTGAAAATAAAAATATTGGACCGGTGACGAAAACAAAACTGAAAATAGATGGCTTAATGTTATGTAGTTATGATAAATAATTGTTTGTGAAGATATATACTTAAATGTGATGTTTATGTAATTTTGATCTTCATGGAATCTATATTAATAAAATGCAAATTTCATAAGTGGTGTTCGCTAAAAACTTTCGTTACAATGCATCAATTTCAACCAAATTTTCAACATTTATGTAAAACGAGATGGAGCAGGTTTTGCTTAACATCAAAATATTTTTCCTAACTTTAACATGCGTAACTTCACTGTTATCGATTAAATACAAAAAAAAAATCAACAGAGTTAATTTTATTTATATATAAATACAAAAAGAAATTCAGCAATTCATTCAACTCAATCTAAAAAAATATTCAAAACAAGCAATTTTAAGATAACACCATATGTAAAACAGTCGGCCAAGAAAACAACAACGATATTACATCTTTCTCACATATTCACACACAATCTTGATTAATAATTAAAACTAATCTTTAACATTGTTTATTATACTTCATAATATATAATATTCGTTAGGCAAACTTTCACTCGGATAAAACCCGGGCGAAGCCGGGTACACATCCGCTAGTTAAATAGATAAAGTTTAAATGTGTTTTAAACTTTAATAACAAGCACAAAACAATATCGACAGTTGATAATTCCACATGAGATTATTTAAAAATAAATACTTCTGGTCTCTCCTGCAGGTGGAAGTCTCTTATTGGAAAATGAGTTATGTCAAATAAAGTATTTCCTTATTTAATCGTAGAAACTTTCTCCTTGGAATATTAAAAATATAAAGTTAAGTGCCAGGAGAAAATGTTTTTTATTAATCGAATACACGAGCTTTCGGGCAGTCCTAAAGCTCGTGTATTCGATTAATAAAAAACATTTTCTCCTGGCACTTAACTTTATATTTTTAAAGTATTTCCTTATTCACATAGGTAGTTGCTCGTAAAAAGGATTGCTCTCATATTTGGTAGGTTTTATGACAGTACCTAAATTCTTATATATAATTTATTTTTGTAATATATTGTATTTAAAATTGGGGTATTGTTTATCTTGTTCTGAAACAACATATTCAACAACACACAGTATCTGCGGATAAAGATACACTCATGGACAAAACTTAAGGGTGTTGTACCTTGTAGCATGTATATCGGGATTCAGACAATAACTCTGAAAGATACACTCATGGACAAAACTTAAGGAAGTTGTACCTTTTACCATGTATATCGGGATTCAGACAATAACTCTGAAAGATACACTCATGGACAAAACTTAAGGAAGTTGTATCTTTTAGCATGTATATAGGGATTCAGACAATAACTCTGAAAGATACACTCATGGACAAAACTTAAGGAAGTTGTACCTTTTAGCATGTATATTGGGATTCAGACAATAACTCTGAAAGATACACCCATGGACAAAACTTAAGGAAGTTGTACCTTTTAGCATGTATATTGGGATTCAGGCAATAACTCTGAAAGATACACTCATGGACAATACTTAAGGATGTTGTACCTTTTAGCATGTATATTGGGATTCAGGCAATAACTCTGAAAGATACACTCATGGACAATACTTAAGGATGTTGTACCTTTTAGCATGTATATCAGGATTCAGACAATAACTCTAAAAGATACACTCATGGACAAAACTTAAGGAAGTTGTACCTTTTAGCATGTATATTGGGATTGAGACAATAACTCTAAAAGATACACTCATGGACAAAACTTAAGGAAGTTGTATCTTTTAGAATATATATCGGGATTCAGACAATAACTCTGAAAGATACACTCATGGACAAAACTTAAGGAAGTTGTATCTTTTAGCATGTATATAGGGATTCAGACAATAACTCTGAAATATACACTCATGGACAAAACTTAAGGAAGTTGTACCTTTTAGCATGTATATCGGGATTAGGACAATAACTCTGAAAGATACACTCATGGACAAAACTTAAGGAAGTTGTACCTTTTAGCATGTATATAGGGATTCAGACAATAACTCTGAAATATACACTCATGGACAAAACTTAAGGAAGTTGTACCTTTTAGCATGTATATTGGGATTCAGGCAATAACTCTGAAAGATACACTCATGGACAATACTTAAGGATGTTGTACCTTTTAGCATGTATATCAGGATTCAGACAATAACTCTAAAAGATATTACAGTGACCTTTATTGAAGACACACACAAGATAACAAAATGTCAACAAAATTGTCTGTCTCCTTCAAAAAAAAAAAAAGACAACCACTGACATCAAAGACTTTTCACTTCCTTAAGTCCATACCTTGTGTTTCTAGTCTATAATCCAAATTATATCTTATCTTATTTCCAATTTAAATCAGAAAGCCTATGCTATTTTCCTGCATGATAATTCGGACAGATTGTGTGTGTGAATTTAAAGAAAAATGAAACAATACAGTAGAACCTTCATGAGAGGATGCTCTTACTAGAGGACACCTCTCTATAAAGAATAATTTTATATTTTATACTATTTAGCAACCTCAGGTAAGAGGAAACCTCTTTCTAAAAGATATTTTAGCTCTGCAACTAGCTATTGCCCTTTACAGAGAGGTAGTTCAACTGTATATGATCATAATGTGTTTGAATTTATTTGGATATAAACAAGAGTTTAATTTAAAAAAGTTAGCAAAAGATTATATTTTTATATTTGAATTGTATATTTAACCAAGATTGCAACATGTTTGGGAATTTCTTCCTCTAAGGTCTTAGTATTACTTTTGTTTTCTGAGAAATATCAATTCAATTAGCTAGGAAAAAGATGGTTAAAATGAGAATATATCTAATATAATGTTATTCGTATTTGAATATCTTAAAATATTAATGATGTACTGCTATATATATTTTAATTTTTATTTTAAATACCTATGGGCTAATATTTAGTTTTGATTGGTTTTACAGAACTATCAAACGTTTATTTTAAAACTAAAGGTTATTTTAAAAATGTATCGCTATTAATTAAGGGGAAATTATATTCTAATTAGTAGAATGTGTACATACTTATGTGAATCTTTTGGTTTCGGTGATTTATAAAAATATTTGACTTTAAATTTTTCTAAATGGTCTTCGATGTTTGTTATTGGTATGATACTTTTAACCGATGCCATTTCATGTAAATGTTAATATTATTTAATTGATTAAATAGCATTATTTTTTATTAAAATATATTCATTTATATTATAAGTACAGAACTAACATGTTTTGATTATGGACAAGTAAAAACACATTTTAGCGCATGCGCTGATTTTAAAACTCAAGGCGGGACAAAAATAGCAATAAATTAAAAAAATTTAGATATAATATTTTAAAATATATCAATTATATATTCACCTTATATTTTTATATATAATAAAATTTTCAAATATATTTAATTTCAAAAGTTTTTAAAAGCCACCTAAGGTTTTTAAAAGAAAATAGTTTTTTTTGTGTGTTAAAATTAATCATTAATAAATACATTTTAAAGAAAATTTGTAGTTATTCTTGAAATTATATTAAAAAAAATTGCTATATAGATATTTTATGATATTTCAAATTGACTTTTATTATTTAATTCTTTTTTTTTTCGAATCTACTCTGCAATAACTTTTTAACTATTTTGTTTATTTATGTCTACTTCCATGTGTGTACAGTCTTTTAAGTAAAATCAAATCGAATTTTATAAATATTTAAAAATGTCGCGAATAATATTTTCACGTGGATTAACATCATTTTTGAAAATAACCAGTAGAACACAGCAATTTAGTAAGCATTTGTGTACCATGTTTTTATAACTAATTATAAACCTATTATTAAAATACACTAACGCGATTATATTAAACCATTTCTTCTTTTAATCGTTTGAATCAAAATTCATACTAATTAAAATGATATCAATATTCAACCCGATATCGCTATAAGATATTTAATGATATAAACACTTCTTAGGAAATTTAGTATTTATAAAAATGAGACATTTTTACAAAAAAAAATGTATATATTTTCTCATATAGAGCTTTGATTTATTATTTTTAGGTTTTTAATTATCAAAACAATGCCAACTTTATATGTGCAAATCCTAGATATGGTGTGCATGAGGCAATTGCCATTGTTTTGCCCAGAAATAGATAGTACAGAATGCATCAATTTGTTAGGTTAGTTACAGATAAATGATATAGTGATCTGCTACCATTGAAACTGTTTATTTACATTTATCAACACAAGAAAACATCGGGTGATTTGATTTGTCAAGATGCACACAAAATGATGAGAGTACCTGAAATGAACTATCAAGTAAAGTGGAACCTCTCTTTAAAGGTACACCTAGATGCAGAGCTGAGGTGTCCTCTTAACAGAGGGCAGCAAATTAGTAAAAATTGTCAATTTGTTAATGAAAACTGTCATTTACAGATAGTTCTTCTAGTGAGAGTGTCCTCACATGAAACACTTTACCATTTTGCATGTCATCCTTGCGCAGGGGCCATGCTAATCTTCTTTGTATCGTTCCTATTGTAGTAGTTGTACCGCTGAACAAGTATCACAGGGACCATGCTAATCTTCTCTGTATCGTTCCAATTTTAGTATATGTACCACCTTGCAAGCCTGACATGGAGGTTCATCAGCACCTATATCTTTAAAGCCCC